GACATGGAGTCTGGACTGAACACTTTGCTAATATTGTCCGAGTACAGAAAATCAAGTGGGTAATCATTTCTGCTAAAATCTGAGTTTGTAGAAAATACAAACATTTTGGGGGGAAAACTCCTGTCATAACTGCCTTACAGGAATAGTTCAATATTTTGGAAAACACTTATTTGCATGCTGATGGAAAATTAAATGACAAGATTTTTACCATTCCCATATTTACCCATTAGCAAGGCTACAGACAGCAGCCGCCTCATAAATCTGGGAGTCCCTAACTCTCTTTGTCTTCCCATGGCTGAAGCTGAGTCCCCTGCAGAGCAGCATCTACACATCTCCCTGACCTGGTTGCATTCATGGATAACAGGTAGGTAACAATATTGTACCCTCAGCATCTGCATTGTCACTGTTGTGAATTAAAACGACTCGGTACAATCTGTAATGGCCTGATCAGAAGAGTCTGTTTTAACAGTTCGACCCAGTCAGATTTCCTAGGCTTTTTCAGCCAGTTCCCAAAATACTGAACTTGTCCTTTATGGTATTATTTTACAGCTAATGCATAACTTTGTGTTACCAGCATTCCACCCTGCAACTTGGTGCTGGACCACTAAACCTTCTGTGTCATGGGCCCAAATGAACGAAACACCAGTTGGTGAGAAGATGACCCTGTAGGCTTGTCTTCACTCGTACACCCACACAGAACCTGTGTTGGTGTTGCTGATAATATACTGTTGTTACAGACTCACTGGAATTGTTAATAGTCATCTTTTGTTGGACAATCTTGGCAGAACAGTGGTCACTGTCAGTGGCTGGACAACTGAGCCGACTGCCATTACCAGCCACTGCTTAACCTGAGTAAAGACAATGCAGATGCTGTGTCAAGCCACATATCTGCTCCTTGCTTAGGTGAGAAAAGGGTTCAGGGATGCTTTGTGTTAAGGGTAGGTTAACTTTGGAAAATAGTGTTGCTTATTGTGACTCTATAGATGTATGTAGCGTAACCTGACACCCCCCTCTTTGGGGCCAAATAATGGGTAGTCAAAGTTCAAAGTGTTTATTTGTTATATACACAGTTAGGAAATGTGTTTCCCTTTACAATAAAATTCTTACTTTGTCATCCACATGAATGCCACAAAATACAAATGAAATATAAACATCATTTAACTCCTATACTGAGCTTCCATTTGAATACTCTCCTGTTTTTTGGCACATTTAATTGTGTATTATTGACTTCTGCATTACCGTATTGATATCTTACTTTGATTCTGCTAAATGACTCTACAGGATCTGTGGTACCTGTAGGATTATGCCTATGTTTTTTTTTTTCTTCTTTGTCATGCTATACATGATTATCTTAACTTGATCTTTATGACACTGGAGTTTAGGAGATATTTCTTTTCTTAAATAATGTGTAACTCAAATGGTTAAATCATTGACCAGTTTACTATTTCCTTGCATGTGTGTGCACAAATAAAACTGGCAGGTTTTTATTTATATCTTTGGTAATAAACTGTATGAACTGATTTAACCTGACCTCTAACGTGGGTTTACATGTTTGACTAGTCACACTGAAAGCTGATACTGGGAACAATATGTTCACGCCTTTACTGATTCCAGGAAGCTGTGAAAGTGAGTATTGAGCAAGAAACTAACGACTTCAATGTGAAGGATTCCAACACAACCACTGGCCTGAGGAATACCCAGACAGCTTGGTGAGTGTGCAGCAGTATACTATTAAGTATAACATTGACTTATTGTTGGCAACTTGTGGTTGTGAAGTTTGTCCTTCTGGCTCACTCCTAAATATTCAGATTGCAAAATAGGTTTGTGTCCGCATTATAATCACAATCCCAGCCAGTAACTTAAATTGTAGTAGTAATCCAAATCTCTAACTGTAGGAGCATAAAGCCAGAAAAAATAGCTACTCTGGTCATTTAAGGACATAAGGAGTAAAAGATTAAACAGATGTAGTGTGAGTGTAGAGAGTGTAGACAAGCTCTGGTCTCTCAACTCTCCTTCGACTCACTCCTGTTACACCGTCTTAAAAGTGCCATTCAGTAAGTAAATGTAAGCAGTTGAATGTTATTGTTCATTTGTGTGTTTCAATGTGTGACCGGTGAACACTTAACTGAATATGAAATGTTGTAATATTTGTATTTCCCTCTGTTAATAAGTCTGCACATTTTTATTGCTGATTTGGGTTGTTGAGTTGTTTTTACTCTGAATTATCTGTCCACTTACCAAAAAAGTTACTCACTTATTACCAATTGCAGACTGATATGTTTGGGTATGACTCTCATCAGCCCTACCTGATTGGCCAACTTTTAAAATGTAACATTGCTATTTTAAACAATTCTAAATTCTGACAGATGGAGCTGCCACCGCGACCAACACTGTTTGACTTCCATGGAGTCTCCATGGTCAAATACTTCACTGACAACTGGGACAACATTCAGAACTTCAAAGCGAGACCAGATGATATTCTCATAGCTACCTACCCTAAAGCAGGTGGAATTGTGTGTAAGAGAGTGAACTGTGGAACTGTGGTGTAGTCATGTTCTTATTATGGTTCTAATTTTATGTCAATGAATACCCTGGATTAATTTGTCTCCTATGTTCAGGCCACTAAACAGCATGCATTTGTTTTAATGTCAGGAACCACGTGGGTCTCCTACATCCTGGACCTTCTGTATTTTGGGCAGACATGCCCAGAGCGTGAGGCCTCCATCCCTATTAATGAGAGAGTGCCCTTCCTGGAGCTCAGCATACCTACTCGACCCAAAGGTTGAATCATAATCATGTGGTCAC